ATTGTATTTAATTTAAAAAAATTAAATTTCAACACCTAATTTACATAATAATTTGCATAATACTTTGTTTTTAGGGTATAAAAAATTAAAATTATACCATAAAAGTAAAGAATTTTCGAACATTTAAATGGCAAAAGAGGTCATTACAAATTTTTGACTCAATCCATTATATTTTATATCAAAAGTCGTTAAGGCCTAATTTTTTAAAAAAATAGATACTTTCCGAAATGATTCTGGATGATATTTAGACAACGAAATAAAAACAATTAAGTCAAAAATTTTATTATTTATCTTGAAATATGAGTTTAAAATGGAGAAGATATGGAAAACTCACATTTTCAGCAATTAGAAAGATTATAAAAAATATTGACAACTCTTTTAAAATGTACAATGTATTTTACTGTCTCTTGTTCAGAATTAATTAATTTATTATCTTTTATTGACTACACAGCCTCAGAAAAAAAATTAATTTTGTCCGGCGAAATAGAGTAGTCATTGTTACGTCTTAGTTCTTAGAGATAATCGCAAAAATCTGATAAAAATCCTGAATTAGGGACACAGAAAAAAGCTGGTGTTATTTTTGTTGCGGTTAAATTTCTCCAATGCTAAAACCCATAAGATTTAACCCAGATTTAGAGTAAAATTTGTTGCGTGTTATTTTAACACCAGTTCTGGTGTTAAAATAACACTTAGTTTTTCCTGTCGACAAAGATAATTTTTTGCCGAAACACTAAGATATTGTATTTCCATGTACATTGTACTTTTTTCCACTGAATTCGAATTCGAAGTCAGAATTGAGAGATAAGCTTAAATTTTGGAGATAATGCCAAAAAACTGATTTTGAATTTTTTTGAATTTTTGTTTATTGAGTTTTTTGCAATTATCTCAAAACATTTCAGCAAATCTAACAATTCTAACTTTGGATTCGGAATCAGTGACTAAAAATACATTGAATTACACTATCGCAGTGTCATACAAAAATTTTTTCACTTTTTGATTTTTTTTCTTTTTTAAGCAGTTTTTTGAGTTTATCTTAAAAATAAGAACCAACTTTTAAATTCTGACCCCGGATTCGGATTCAGTGACCCAAAATACGTAAGAATGACTAGTCTATTTTGCCGGACAAAATTTTTTTTGTGGGGGTTTGTTAATTAAGTGAATAAATGAAAATAATAGATAAAATATGTTTTCAAAGTTGGTCAGTGAAAGTAAGTAAGTTTAAACAGAACACAAAAAAGACACAAAAATTAGATCTATAAGGTGCTAAATATCTTGCGGTTACTTTAACCTAGCGCATTAACATTTATGTAAAACTGTGAAAAATATCCGGTTATCTACCCACACAGCACATTAAATTTCCTGAATTTTTCCTGAATATTTCATTGAAAGATTCGAAATATTTCAATGAAAGGTCCATGAAATATTGCTGCAACAGGAAAATGTCCGCCTATTTGAAATATTAGACGGTCAACTTGAGAAAATATTTCATTGAAATATTGTGGAAATATTTAATTTCAAAGATGCGCACTGGTCTAACTCAGTTTCTATGGCCTGTAGAACTGCGCAGTAGTTTTTACTTTTCTAGAAACCTAAGGATGTTGAATATTTCAGAAAATTCCTATTGATTTCATGTGTTTAACAAATTTTTTCACTTTTTGAAATATTTCCAGAATATTGCTAAATCGATATGTGTAATATTTCAGGAATATTTCAATGAAATATTTTCTCAAGTTGACTATTTAATATTTCAAATAGGCGGACATTTTCATGTTGCAGCAATATTTTATGGACCTTTCATTGGAATATTTCGAATCTTTCAATGAAATATTCAGGACAAATTCAGGAAATTTAATGTGCTGTGTGGGTATATATATTTCGGTGGTGGGGATAAATCACTCTGTTTTCTTAATTTCTAGTTTTTTTATTTATATAGTTTATTTTTATTTTTATTTAGATATTTATTTTTATCTAGTTTTTTTATTTTCTTCTAATTTCTAGAAAATTTTAAAATCTTTAAGTTTTTTATTAATATTTATTTAGGCATATTTGAAATTTAAAGAACTGATTTAATACCAATTTTTCACAGTTTTTCATAAATTTAAATGGGTTAAAGTAACTGCAAGATATTCAGCACTTTATAGATCCAATTTTTGTGTGCTATTTAAAATTACTTAAAACCATATACAGGTTTTGAACTCATTAGTCAGCAAAAAAGTAACAAAAAGTTGTCTAAATAGTGAAAAAGTAGCCAAAAAGTAGCCAACCATCAAAAAAGTAGCAAATAGTAGCTTTTAGTCGAAGAGTGCGAAGCCTGAAAATTTGATCGCTATATTGGATCCGCCATTTTGAATTTTGAAAATCTGACTGCAGATTAATAATCAGTGACCCCGAAAACCCCCAGATACAAAGTTTTATAAAATATTAATAATTTTTAAAAGATATCTTGTCACTTTTCATTTAGGGGTTGTTTTCACCCCTAAAAACAACAAACGACTTGATCTAGCAAAACGGCCAGACACGGATATTTTTTTTGAGTCCTAGTTTCCGAAAATGTTAAATTTTTTTGTGGGTCAAAAATTGTGTCTGACGGTGTTAATTATAAAAACACAGGCCTCGAATCAACTTAAAGACACAAAAAAGTCGTTTTAGTCGATTTATATTCCAAAAAAAGTGGATTTGTTTTTTATTTTAACAAAAATATTTTACAAATTTTTAAATAAGAATTTTTTTTTTAATAATAATCCTTTTCGAAGGGTTAAAGTTGAAATTTTTAGAAATAATTAAATTTTAGATGCTTTTAAATTTAAATTATTGAATTTTAATTGATTTTGAATTAAAATTTTGGGTAATAATGAAATTTTATTTTATTTTAAATTGAAAATTTTTGGGAAATAATTGAATTTTAATTGAAATTTTGGATAATAATTTAATTGAAGTTCATTTTTGATTGAAAATTTGGATAATTAATTTTAAATAGAAATTTTAGAAAATAATTGAATTTTATTTCATTTTAAATTGAAAACTTGGTAAATAATTAAATTTTAAATTGAAAATTTTGGATAATTATTGGATATTTAATTGATTTTGAATTAAAATTTCGGGTAATAATTGAATTTTAGTTTATTTTGAATTGAAATTTTTAAAAACTAATCCAATTTTATTGGGATATTTTTTTTTAAATTATAAACAATTGTTAAATTTCATAAAAACTTTAATTGAAAAATAATTTTGATATAATTGAATTTGTGATGTATTTCATTAAAATTATTAAAAATAATTAATTTAGTGAAGAATCATTTTAGTTCAAAATTTGTTAAATAAATGAATTGAAGAAGATCTACATTTTATACTAAAAAAATGTATTTTATTTACATTTTTTTTAAATGTAAAAAAAATGTCGCATTTTATTAAAATAAATCGATAAAAGTCGTATTTTTGAAAAAAGTCGGAAAAAGTCGTATAATCCGAGGCCTGTAAACATATAATTTTCATTATTATTATTTAATATGTAATAATATTCTAATAAATTAAATTATAATTGAAAATATTAATCTTTAATTTCTTTATAACAAACAATTAAAGACCCAATTTGGCGCGCGTTTAATTTTGCTAGTGTAATAATAAAATGCTTGGTCTGTCCTTCTGTCCTTACTTGAAGTTGGTCTTTACTGATTCCACGTGTTTTTTGAATTGTAATGTTATGACGTGTCTTTTGAAAATTACTTTTTTATATTACCTTTGCGTCAAAAACTCGACTGAATCGCTGTCTCTTACGCACTAGTGCTTAAAAGGAGAGGAAATCGTACTTTTACGCACACTTTCCCCTTCCATCACAGCAATTTAGTCGAGTTTTTGACGCAAAATGTTATAAAAAATTATGTATGGGACATGGGCGCAAATAGGGGAATTTTGCTAGTTTATTAAATAATGTTTGTTTATTTTTTTATTTTATTTACTGTGAAACGTCTGCTATCGCTGCGCGTGACGTTCGAAAGTTGTCGCTCTTGTTATTGAGAAAAAGCTAGCGTAGTAGCACGAAGTAATAATAAGGAGCTGGAACTCGTGGGCAAAATGCGTGCCGATTCCCTTGGTAAAGTACTTAGAAGCTAGAATAAGCGATAGTGGCGATCCTTACGGGTAATTGTGGAATCACGGATGATCACGTGATCAATAGTGAAATGTGTTTATCGACATTTTGTTTGTTTTTGGTGTTTGCCGGTCTTGCTGAGTTTCTAAATTTTATTATTTTTGTTTTTTAATGCTATAGTTTCTTGAAATGTGAATGTGTTTTTAGAAGAATAATTCTTGTGAAGCATTTCCTTTCAGTAAGTATATTCGTTAATTAATAAATAAAAGAATTTTAACGAATTACAAGTTGAAGATTCACGCGTGCTGTAAACATGTTTAGATATACTGCCGGTCAGAATTGTTAAAATTTAATTTACTTGTTGTTAAAAGAGTGCAATTTCCTAAATGTCATGAAAATTGAAATTAATTGTGAAATAATGAACATTTTTTATTACTCCTAGCCTTATTTTAAAGGTCTGTTTTTGCAATTGATAGTCCCACAATCTGGAACTATAGAGTAGATTTTTAAAATTATATGTTGTTTGTGTATTCAAATGAATTGTACAATGTACATTTTATAATTAAAAATATTTTTCATGTTAAACGTTTTTTAGGAAAATGCCAACGTGTTTCGTGGAAGGTTGTAAATCTTCGGATTTTCGCAACATGAAGGAGGGAGAGGAGAAACGGGGTTTATTTCATCCAACTACGGTAATAGAGCAATTTTTTTTATTTGTTTTATTTTCTTTAAATTTACAAACGAAGAAAATTTGAATTTTATTTTTTTTCATTATTTACATGTCCATTATTCATTTGAAGATATCAGAAATTTACAAATATCTTTATCTTTTTAGAAAGAAATTTTGGAAAAGTGGAGAAATGCTATTCCAAATGGAAGAGCATTAGAAAAAAAACATGTTGTTTGTGACCTTCACTTTTTAGAAGAAGAAGTGATTAAAGCATATGCCTCCGCAAGTAATGTTTGTAGTATGAGACTCGAAAGATTTCGGTTGAAAAAGGAGGCTGTGCCATCCTTGTTTCCAAGCAACGATTCAAGCTTTGTGGAAGTTGCTGTCAATAATGATTTGGATGAAACTTTTTTGCAAGAAAAAAATTTCAACGTCATATTTAGAAAGTATAATATATCCCCGTGCCATCGGAATACTGGATTGCAACACGTAGTCCGGAAAATGATTTCATTATTTGGAATTGTTGGAGGAAAGATTTTTTACAGTCTTCTCATAAAATAGTGCTACGTTCAGATATGACGATAAAGGTACACTTTCATAGAATTTTAATTATTCAGTGTATAACTTTCATTTAAAACAAAAGTTATTGTTATTGTTAAACCATTATTAATATGTTACTGGTTTGTACTTATAGATTTTTGTGTCAGACAGAGAAATAAGTATAGATGCTTGGAAATCTGTAAAAAATATTAAGGAAATCATCGAACTATTAAATGAAGTCACTAAATATTTACCATGCTTTAAAACTGACTTTACAAGGTTCGTACTGTTTATTTATATTTAAATGATTTAATTTAATTATAAACACTATTTACAGAAATAAATGTTTTGCAGATCAAGTAATTGCACTGGATTTGTTTTGCTAAAAGAAATTAATAAAAAAGGGCCTCAAATTGAACTGTGTGAACCATGCAGGTATTTTCGGCACAAAAGTTCCAATAAAAATAAGGAGCCAATTCTCAGGAAAAAAAACAAATTGTTACAAAAAAAAATCAAGAGGATAAATGAAAAAAAAAGAATTTCAAGAAAGGTAAGAAATATAAATTCATATAATAATTGCATGGTATTTAAAGAGTATGTATTATGAAAAATTTGGAAAATAATCACACGTTTACGCTTGCAGGCAAAACGCCTACAAAATAAAATTGAAACTCTTAAAACAAAGTGTGCTGAATGCAAAGAAGATGCAGTAAATGAATACATTGTGTCGTTAACAGAAGAGCAGCAACAAGCTGTGAGAGCAATTATTTCAACTGCTAAAGTTAAAAGCAAGAATGGGATACGGTATAATAGAGAATGGATTTATGAGTGCATTCTTTTAAGAATTAAAAGTTGTAAGGCGTACGAACATTTAATAAAAAGAGAAATAATGGCATTGCCCTGCATTAAGACTTTAAACAATTACATGAAATTTCTGAAAAGTCAATACGGCTTTCAAAAAGGTGTTTTTGAAGGTATTAAAAAGAAGACTGAAAATATGCCGCCCGAGGATGTTCATGGTAATTATAAATGAGATTATAATATTTTAAATTTAAAGTTTTATATTCTCTACAGAAATGAATGTTAAAAAATATCTAAGGATATTGTAACTTAATTTTCAGGTTGCATTCTTGTCGATGAAATGAAGCTAACCAAAGCTTTAAATTTTAATAGAATGAATTTAAAATTAGAAGGTTTCACTGATTTAGGAGCCCACACTCCTCAAGTCCAGAAAGGCAAACCTGGTGATCATGCCTTAGTCCTAATGTTCCAACCATTTAAAGGAAAGTGGGCTCAAACATTAGGATGTTTTTTAAGTAAAGGGAGTGCGTCTGGAACAGTTCTTCATAAATTACTAGTAGAATGTATAATGCTAGCAGAAAAGGCCGGATTGAAAGTTGATGCGATTATAACTGACGGTGCTACATGGAATCGCACGATGTGGAGCGTTTTCGGTGTTAACGATAAAGTCGTTAGCATACCTCACATAATTGACAACAAGAGGAAATTATGGTTTATATCAGACTTCCCGCATTTGATTAAGTGTATAAGAAACTTTTTCTTAAAGAATGGTATACGAGATGGAATTTGGGTAAATAATCATAATTGATTTTTAACACTATTATTTTGAAATTATAAATTAATTTTTTTTTATTTCAATAAATTCATAAACTTCATGCAATTATAATTGTGTTTTCAGACACCGGACGGAATTATTGCTTTGATTTTCTGGTACGCCTTATTGGAAATGGAGGATCCAGAATCATACGGCATCAAAGCAAATTTCAAATTGAAGAGAGACCATTTAGAACCAAAATTCTACCAGAAAATGAATGTTCAATTGGCATTTCAGGTAATACTGTAAATATTGCTTAACTTAAAAAATTGTACAATTTCATTTTTTTAAATTTTGTGAAATATAGTTTTTTGGTGTTGCCGACGTTCTACAATTATTCAAAAATGGACACCCTGAGCTAGAAGATTGTGAACCTGCCATCAAATTTTGCCAAAGATGGAAGAGCCTCATTACAGCCATGAATTGTCGTACACCATTAGAAGCAATGAAACCAGGCAATGAATATTACCAGGTGTGAAGCTTTATAATTTCATACATTTTTTCATTCAGTAGATAGAAAAAATTTAAAAAATTTTTTTTAAATAGCATTAGCTACTTTTTGAAACTCAAATGACTAATATCTTAAATATTTTTAGATTGTTGAAAATTTCTTAAAATATCTACAAGATTGGGAGTCTACTGCAAAGGAAAATAAATATGATTTCATTTCGGACAGTTCATTTTACGGCTTAAAAGTATCTTTAAAAGCTACTTTGGAGATTTGCGACTATCTCGTAAAAGAATGCGGATTTGCGTACTTGATGACAGCTCGTCTTAATCAAGACAGTTTAGAGGTATGCATACACAAATATTATGGGAATTTAAAATACGATTGTTTATTGTTATTTATTCCTTTACAGCGTTTTTTCGGAATGATGCGTGACTGCTGTGGAGCAAACGATCACCCAGATTCTAGTCTTTTTGTACAAGTGTATAAACTAGTTTCAACTTATTCACTTGTACAACCACCTAAAGGATGCAATGTTTCATCTACGGAATTATTCGATGTTTTATTGAATATTAAAGACATTGACGATGCTATTCAAAGGAAAGACCAATGGGAAGCACAAGTTGACACAATTCTGGATAGAGATTGCAGATCTACTGTGCTAAATGAAGCTGCACAAGTCATGTATGAGCATGACTGTTCTGAATCAGAAGCATCTTTATACACAAACAGATACATAGCTGGATATGTCGCGTGCAAGGCTTCAACTAGATTTACAAAGTATATTGTAGATAAAAAAACCTTTTATCTGCAATGGCTGCACATCAGATCTTATTTTATCACCAACGGACATAATTCCAGAAACTTACAAGTTAATTGAAATAAGATCTAGAGGATTTCTAAAGCATCCATCTCTCAAGCAAACTTTCTACAGGAGTTGTCACCTTTACCTTTCATTGGATGCGAACAACACTGTGAGCAGCTTACTCGACGGATTCTTGACTTTTACCTGATAACTCGAATGAATTTTATTTCCACAGTGGAATAGTAACAATAATGAAAGAAAATTAACTAGAGAAAAAAGAAAATTAGCCAAATTATCTGAAGCGCCTTGCGAGCCACAAGATATATCTAAGATTCCAGATATAAAAATGAAGCCTAAAAGAAAACGAAAACAAAAAGGTAACTGCAATAATGACGAAGAGCCAAAAACAAAAGGAAAACAAAAAAGTAATTGTGATAATAATGAAACGCCAAAAGGAAAACGAAAACAAGAAACTAACTGTAATAATGATGGAAAGCCTAAAAGGAAACAAAGAAAAGGAAATAAATGTGATAACAATAAAGAGAATTTAAAGATTGATACAAATAAGTGATTTGTAAGAAAGTCGTTAGTTATAAAGAATTGTTTTCAACAAATATTTTATTTAACTTTAAAATTCTTATTTCTAAGAAATAGAAAGATTTAAAACATATGTTCTTATTGTAATATATGTCTCACAGACATTGGCAATTTATTTTCTGAAAATGTAAATTTCAAAAAATAAGACTTAACTATAAAGTAAATTTCGATTTATATACATGTTTAACTTATCTTAAATGTTTATTTTTAAAAAAATGTTAAATTGCAATTTTAAATTATAATTTAAAATTACTATATCTTCGTAAATGTTTAAAGTACATTGAATATTTATTTAAAAATATTTAAAATAAACTACATTCTTAAAAAATAATATACAATTTATTTCTTTTGTAAAAATCACATTCTTGCAACATATATACAATAATATAAATTTCGAAAATTCTTAGTACATTAATGTTCTTACCACTACATTGTAATTATTATATACAATTCGTTTCAATTATTAATTTATAATTCAATGTTTTCTATACATTTCAAAAGTCTATTTAATTCGTCTATACTCGTTAATTTTAGAAACTGTGAAAATACCATTTCTTTGTCATCCAAAAAAATTTTAACTTTTAAAGTGGGAAATACCACAATTCTTTTTCGAATCAATGCTTCTTTCTCAGCCTTCTCAAAACCAAGAAAAAATTAATTTCCTCTTGTATAACCCCAGCTTTTTGACGGAAGATGTACTGACATCAAATTATCTTGTAATAACTCGAAAGTTTGGTTTTCTTCCAAACAGCACTGCACCATAACCTACAAACGAAAAAAAAAATTATTTGCAGGCATCATTTACTTATTTTTACTTTTTTCATTTTATTAAAATTTATAACACTGAAAACTAAAAGAATAAATTTTCACCAATGCAATAACAACTTCAATGAAAAACTATCAACAAACATTGCAGAAAACATTAATTACAACTTTGTTTACTTTAATTCAAAACGTAATCACATTAAATACTTACGTCTACGAATTTCTTCCCTTCTTCTACACTCATTATATATAAAACTTTTACAACTTTCTTAAAAATAAATATTTAAAACACACTTTTATATGTTTCGGTTTAAATTATATTTTGTCAGCCTTCGCATGGGGATGGCACTCCAGGATTTTTTTGACGATAGAAACTCATAGTTATTGATATTAACACGAGAGCGCGCTGAGTGATAAGCGCATGCTCCGTTAAAAGTTTTTCGAAATTTGTTTTGAACTGTCAAACTGTATTATTATTGAGATTGTGCCAATAATTAAATTATACATAATTTAATTTTGGATTTATGAGTTTAATTTATATTTAATAATATTTAATAATTTAAAAATTAATAACATCTTAATTCTTAAGCAATTCAATTTAATTTAACAATTTCTGAATTAACAGAAAAGAGAATAATAGAATGTGAAATATAATTAATTGAAAAGCTTTTTACATATTTAATCATTTATTCAACATTTTCGTAACATTTGATCACTTAAACTATTTACAAATAAGAAATTTATAATAAAATTGAAACAATACATTCAGCACATTTAAAAAATGTTCTTTAAAATTAAAAAATATTTTTTTTATATGTTGATTTTGTGTTATTTTCATACGGGCCGAAATAAAATTTTCCATTTTTTCTGTTCTTATTACAGAATTCATCAACATATTAAACTGATAATTGAAGAGAACATCTAAAAATCCAATTGAAATTTTCTTCTATGTTTTTTGAATTTTGAAATGTCGTATGATAATAAACAGATGTAACCGGTAAATGCGAAATAGAATCATGCTACATATCCCTTTCTAAAAACATAATTTTTTTATTTTATTATTAATATTTTTTAAAAAATACAATTTTAATAATTATTTTTTTTTAACTCACTGTTTATCAACGCCTTGATTTTGTTTCCTTATCTTTAAGTACACCTGTCTAGCATATTGCTCAACGATGCTTCCCCCATGACGCATTATACTTCCACTTAGAATTTTATTCAAATGTGAGCACCATTGATTGATGGTAAATACAACAATTGACCGCAAAAACTTTTCTGATAGAAACCTTCTGTGTTCGGTACACGTCATCCACTCGAAATCTATTCTTCTATTTACAAATTGGACAAGAGTTTCTCGAACGTTTCTTCTGAAACACATCAAAGGCAATTTTCGCATGATCACGTTTGTGGCTTGCATGAATCCGCGTTCAAAGTAATCCATTGCAGAAGTTTTCATGGAATTCAGTGGATGTTCCAGGTCTGTTTTTTCTGGTAATGTAAAAAAGACAGATTGACAGTTTTTACATTTTTTCATGCAATCGTCAAGAAGCAAGTTTCTTGCAAAAATAGCCGCTGTACGTCGATTCGTCCGGAAATTTAAACGTGATTTTTTTAACTGAAATGTGGAAGGATGCTCAGGTTCATCATCGACACAAAATGTTTTTGCTCTCGTAATTTCTTCAGATCCATTTTCATCATCAATTAACGACAGAAGTGAAAATAGTGATGATCCAGCATCTTTTTTACAATTTGACCCTATGGCATGTGAAGAAGTCTCATTGTTGATAAGAAATGTTTTAAAGATTCCGTCAACCTAGTTTAATTATTAAATAAATATAGGATATACAGGATTATATGATTAATAGAATTAAAAGGAAAGTTATGTATTAATATTTAAATCGAGATAATATAGAATTTATGAGGAAAATATCCTGACAGCAACGGATATTCCTGCGGACATCCAACGGGCTTCTTAGAGATATCAGGAAATTGGGATGTTCCTAGGATGTTTTCATGACATCCACAGATATCCAAATTTTTAAAATCTCTCAGACATCTGAAGGGTGTCCTTAGAATTCCTGAATATCCGGATACTGTGAAATTTATTATGTAGAACCACTGACTTGAGTACAATTGAGTTTCGTAAATCGGTGACTGTGACTACGGAAGCATCCAAACAAATTTTCCAAGCAGTCTTGATTTATAAGACCTAATTTCAAGAAAGGGATTTTGAGACTTTTGCATCGCTCCCAAACTATCTTAAAGCACTCAAATACGTCTGGCCAAGCTTTTAAACATGGAGGATCAGGAAGTGCAATTTTTGTTTTTTTATCCACAAATCTCATCGATTTGAAATTTAGGCGGGCTGTTTTCCAAAATTCGATGTGTGGACTCTTATCGTGAAGCACTCCACGCAATGGTTTGTCAGGATTAATACTCTGCCCATTCACAGAGTCAAATACCTGATCCATGAAGAGTGCATATCGGGCAGTATTTTTCGCTTCATGCGGCAAAGAAAGTTTTCCTGTCTCCGTTTGAATGGTTTCTGTAATAAAATTTTTTTCACTTATATAAAAAAAAGTTTAAAGTGAATAACTATTTTTAGATTTAATATAATACCCCCAAGATTTACAGCATGATTAATAAACGTTGCCATTGTTTCACTGAGAGTTTGAGTGCAAACGGAAACTTTCATTTTTTTCAATTTGTTGGGACGAACATGTTCTTCCTTAATTTTAGGCATAAATTTGTGCAAGGAATCACTTTGTTGATCCATATCAAAGGCATTTTCTATATGATCCCAACACGCGTATTTTCGTTCCACTCCTCTCTTTGAATTAGATTCTCTATAATCTAATTCAACATCTTTTACCACTGAATTGTTTCGCATACTTTTTACAAGGTGGACCGGATCGAACATTACACAGAGCTTTACCCCTTCAATTTCTAGCTCCACTGGATTTCCTAACATAGTCATTAATTTTAAAATTATATATATTATATAACTATTTTATTAAGTTATGGGAGGGTAAATAATAAATAAAAGAATACATATTTATTATTATTATTATTATTGTATTAATATTTATTTTGTTAATACACGAATTGCTGCTTAAGCACTATACAATAGTAATTATGATATAAATATTCTATTTTTTAATATATTTATATTAAAAATTTTAATCAAAAGTGGTTACCAAGTTTAATATTGTTCTTAATACACTTCTCTTTATACTGGTCCTTCAACTCATTGATGGCTTTACAGTTTGATGGACCTTGATCACAAATGGTTAACATCAACTTTAACCCTGTCTTTTTTACGGCCCGAACATTTTCTTTGATACAAACTATCAACTGCTCCCATGCAGCTCCATTGTTAGGAAAATAATATGATATTGCCTTTTTTGCCCCAGTATTCAAGCAACGCAACATGAAGACGAGTACATGATCAGCAAATTTGCTTGTTCTTTTCGTTCCGAAATCTTCGAAACCTAGGATGAAATCTCTTTTGGAATCATAAGAAACAAAAGGTCGAACTGAAAATTCATCCCACATCAGTGCTGCGGCTTTTTCTCTTTCTGTTTTTATAGTGGATACTTGGGTTTTTAAATGTTCTATCAAATTAGCATTAATGCCAGTGTACAAATTTAATTTGCATGAAAATCTCCGTAAAGATCTTATTGAAGGACATATGAAAATAGATTCAAGAAACTTATAAACTTTAGTTGACAATTTATAAATTGACAAACATATAATTTTTTGATTTTTAGTGAATCTTCTGCCCTTCTTTGCCTTTCCAGCATTATTTATATGCATTTGAATAAATTCTCGTTGGACATTTGAAAGTTTCGACATATTTGGAACTTTTTTTTTATATCTGCTAAACGACTTCTTACTCTATAATTAGATATTTTTATGAAGTAAATTTTTTAAATTTAAAAATAGCAACTTGTACTATTTTTATAAAATTAAATTTTAAATTATTTAAAATTTTATATGTTATACTTTTTTTGAGTTTGAATTTTTATGTAAAAGAATTGATATCTGTAATAATATTTCTTAAGAAATTTTTTCAATAATCCTAATTTCTATTTCATAAAAATTAAATTTTTAAATTTTTTGATAAATAAAATTTTTACAAATTGATTTTTCTTAAAATTGTACATTAGGAATTAAAATGTATATGAGAATTAATTTAAATTTTTTGAATTTATAGTTTTAACAGATTTTTAAAGACTGCAATTTAAAAAAAATTGTAAAATTTATAGACATTATAATCAAATTTAAATAAAAAAAATCCAAAATTTAAACACTATAAATTTGATTATATAATAATTTTAAAATAAATATAAAAATTCATTTTATTAATTGTACCTTTTTAAACGGTACGCTGTATCAAAATAACGCTTTTTCGCTGCTTTTGTTATTTGGTGCATTTTTTTTACAACAGGAGACAATTCTACCTTATACAGTTTGCGAAAAGAAAGTTGTCTAGGTTTCAAAGAAGTAGTTCTCCTACTTTTTGGTGACTGTGGAATCTCTTGATTTTCGTTAATGTTCATTTCATGTAAAGGAGGATTGTTGTTACTCATAAATTCGTACTCATTATCAATATTTGAATTTTCAAAAAATCCAAAAGAGGAATTTAAGGATGATTGTCTTAGTTCATTATCATCATTATCTACAGAGGAGTACGATAAACCTGATGACAATGAAGACATTGTTAACTGTGCATTTAAATCAATACACAAGGACTCAATATTTTCTTGATTATCAATTATAACATCCTTCTCAATCAAATTTGGATTTGAAACATCAACTGTAGGTACCGCATCAAACTTTAGGTTAGGCTTTGAAATGCCGCCCATATACGCATTATCATTGAAATGTTTTTTGCAAACTTTTAATTGTTTCTTCCTAATATCTTCATAGCTTAAATTTTTCAGAACTGGACTGTCGATCGCAGTTATCCATTTTCTACCAAGATCTTTATTGGCAGGAAAAGTGTGGAATGTTTTTTCGTCCTTTCCAAGACAATTTGGAACAATACATTTCCTCTTGCTCATATTGTACAGAGCTTCACGAATCTTAAAAAGAAAATATAAAATTAAACATTCTATATTATTCAAGGGTAAAAGAAAATTTATTTGTCATCTATCTTATTTTTTATAATTAAAAAACAAATATATTTGGTTAAATGGAAAATGATGACTTCTGATTGTTAATTATAAAATATTTGTTTATTTAATATGTTTACTATCCATTTCATGGAATTCACCTCGTAGTAAAGAATAAGATAATTAATTTTAATTTATATAATGAAAGAAAGTACTTACTGTTTGAAAATATAATTTTTACATTCTTCACAAAGTTTCATTCATTTTTTGAAATTTGTTTATTACACTATTTTTTTGTATCGAAGAAAATTAGTATATTAAAAAAAAATTTCAATTTTCAAAATAATTATAATTAAATAATTATTAAGAATTACTTCTTTATAATTAACAACCTTAATAATAATACAGTTTGACAGTTCAAAACAAATTTCGAAAAACTTTTAACGGAGCATGCGCTTATCACTCAGCGCGCTCTCGTGTTAATATCAATAACTATGAGTTTCTATCGTCAAAAAAATCCTGGAGTGCCATACATAGAGTTATTATAAATAGAGTGGGGAAGGACTGTACCTAAGCGTCCGCTGCATAGAAAGAGAAAGACAACCGAAACCGTATATCTGTCCTCTTGTGCTCACGCATGAGCAAAGCATTGGATTTTGGCAGTGACAGACTGCCTACTCACGAAAATTCCTTTGCTTTACGCATGAAACGTGGTAGTACTTTTTTTATGTTGTTATAATTATTGAAAAATGCGAATAAAGTGTGTGCTTTGTAAGAAGGAACCTGTTCCTTCAAATTCAAGTCGCAGTTTTCAGAGTTTTATTATTTTTATAACAAGTGAATGAATGCGTTATTTTCAAATATAAAAGATATATGAAGAGATTTAACGTTAAATTAAAAAAAATTTAAATGGTTGGATTTAAAGTTGCTAAGTACCTACTTTGCAGTAAAAAAATCATAAAAAACATTTTCGAAAAATGAAAAACATCACTTTTCACACAATACGTTTTTTACTACGCTAGTGTAATGAGCTTCTCATTTTTAAGAAAATAGTTTTTTTTATTTTTATGCTGAAAATATTTCCATTTAGTAAAAACTTTAACCCAATTGAATAAATGTAATAAAAAGTTGTTTTTTATATTATTGAGATTCGACAATAATTTTATTTTTTTACCTAGCATCATTTTTACTAAAATTAAATGATCGATTTAAATTTATGTTTTAGTAATAATTATTTATTTGTTTGTGAAATATTGAAATTGTGATTTAATTTTTTATCATAAGTTAAAGACTTTATTAAAATTTAATTTACTATTTCAAAAAATTACTTTAAAATACGTAATATTTTGAATTGTTAGATCATTTTTATTGTAAATGCAAAAAATATTTTTTTTGTGTTCACAAGATACACATTTTTTGTTAAATAATCAAAAAAAGTTTCAATAAAACGTAATAATTTATTGATACAAATTGGTATAAAAAAAATAATTTATAAAACTCTGAAAATTCTTTAATCATCATTATCTTCATCGGGCTCATCAAAATCTTTTGTTTTTACATCCTCTTCTTCTCCGTATTGAATAATATTGTCAATAGTAATTTTTATGTCTGCAATACTTTCTTCATCTTTAATATTTAATGGATAAAATTTGACAAGACTGTAATTTTCAATTACATTTCCTATAGCATTTGTTAAATTTTTATATTTTTCATTCCATGGATCATCTTTCATTTCAGCCAATAAACTTTGTGGATCAGGTTCTAGAAATTTATCTAACTGTTTTTTAGCGTTCTTTGATAATAAATCCATTTTTGTTACAATGTTAACATGTGGCAATTCCAAATTGATCATTGTACTGAGTGCTGACATTGTACCAGACATAAACTTCGATCCATCAACCATAAACTGACTATCCAGTAAAAAAACGCTACACAAATTGAAATTCATCCTTTGTAAAGTAGAAATTAATTGTTGCATTTCATTCATATGAGTGTAGAGTTCTATTTGACCAGGACAATCAAATAATATGTAATCATCATCTGTATCGCCCAGTTGATCTTCTAACCATTCAGTATGTTCCATTAAGTATCTAAAACAAATATTTATGATTTCACGTGAAATTTACCTATGACATTTTAAATTCGGATAAATATTTTACCCAAGATTAAATCATTTTAGAATGTATGAATAAGCTCTAAAATAAATATTTAGAATTATGATTTGATAGAATCAATTATATAATTGTAAAATATTAATTTTGAAGAATATTTATTTGTTCCAATATTAATTTTCTAGAAAATGCAAATAGTTCGAAAATCAATTTTAACAAAATGTTTATTCAGATGAAAATTCATTTGCCAGAAATTAAATTTGATCCAATTTCAATTTGTGTGAAACATTTCATAGAATATTAAGTTTACAGAATAGGTATTAATTTTGCAAAAAAGATGAGGAAGAATATTAATTTGTTAGATTATATTAGTAAAATTCTAGAAAATGAAAATGGTCGAAAATCAATTTTCCAGAAACAATTGTAAAATTGAACGAACATACCTTGTGAAGTTCGATTTTAATTGTATGAGCGCCTCCTCCGAAAAGATCAACTCGTAGTACCCCGTCCCTCGTGCCAAATTTATCACATTTTTAAAGAATAATTGCAAAAAATTTGCAATTGCGCGCCTTGTGGATCTTCATTTATTTTTGTTTCATTTATTTCATTTCATTTAAAATTTTGCCGTAATTTGAAAAAAGGGGAATTAACTAAAATTGATGAATTTAGATAATTGGGTCATATTGAGTGTTTAGGGTGGGATTGATCTTTTCGGAGGAAGCGCTCATACAATTAAAATCGAACTTCACAAGGTATGTTCGTTCAATTTTACAATTGTATTTTGCGCCTCCTCCTCAAGATCAACTCGTAGATGTTGAAAGTTAATTACGGCATCTTAAATAACTGAGAAATTATTGTAAAGTATTTTTATTCTTTATTTCGACTTTTGTAACATTTTTTAACTTAATTAAACCGATGTAAACAAATTATGTAAATGTTGAATTTACGAGTTATAAAAAATAATTGTAATTAATGTACTTAGAAAAACATTAACTTAAACTAAATAATTATCCTTGTAGGATACTTAGTGCAAATTGACCACTGTCAGTCACTATTTGCTTATCGTAAAATTTTGCGAATGTTTCAGAGTCTTTTGTCCAGCCAGCAGTTTTACCTACTAAAGCTAAATCAACCCCTAATTTTTTTAGCGGCAGAAGTAGATGCGTGACGCGTGCTATGTGTCGCGAATACTTCTGTGTCTATTCCGCTGTTTTTGAGTATATCCTTTACCCAGTGATTGAGTGTCTGACATGTAACTGGTTCAAACGGTTTACGAAAGGACAAAAATAATTTTTGATTTGAATTCCGAATTTCCTTAGTTTTTTCTAAATAACATGTTAAGGTTGATGCTGCACAAACTTTTGATTCATGGTAAAATGCAAGAGTTAACAAAGGTTGTAATCTAGTTATATTAGAAGTTTTTACATGATCCGGAATTATAATAACGATTGAATTACTTTGAATTATAATGTTCTCAATTTTAATCAATGAAAAGGTTTGCATCCGGTGACCAGTTACAAGTGCAAAAAGACTTATAAGTTTTTTGGATAATTGTTCTAAAGTCAATTCTTGATTAGGAGGTTTTGATCGAAAATAATCAAGAACTGATTTTGGATCCCATGTATAATCGTATTTTGGTCTGGAAGGTCTTAAACCAGAGACGCCTTTGAAGAAACGTTTTAACCTTGAATCTTGAGAAATATTAGATTTCATAATTAATGATATAGCCGATCTTGTTGCATTTATCGAACTATATGATAAACCATTATTGAATTATAATATCTATAGATTCTTGGGGGTGTACCTTGCTTCAAAAAGGCTTCCCTGATAACCATCCGGACACCAGGGAAAGGTTTTTCCATAGAGGATGATGGCTCCTATCAGAAGAAATTAAAAGATTTATATTTGGAGTAAAATGAATAGGTTTACGAATTAACATAGATGTGAATAAAGGATACCATGGCTGTGCTGGCCAGTTAGGTACAACCATGATACCTTCTGTTTGGTCTCTTTTAATTTTACGAAGAGTTTTTAAAATAATGCTGAATGGTGGAAAAGCATAAAACAAAAATTTGCTCCAATCTAATGTAAACGCATCAACAGCTTCTGATTCAGGATCTTTTTTCCAAGAAACGTAGCGACCGAATTTCTTATCTGTTCGACTTGCAAATATATCAATTTCCGGTTTACAAAATTCTCGAATAATTGTAGAAAACGCAGAGTTAGATAATTCAAATTCAGTTTTAGGTTCCAATTTTCTCGATTCTGTATCTGCTTGAAAGTTTTCTTTCGAACTAATATAGGAGGCAAATATCTAAATTTTAAGCTTTTCGCACCATTGCCAAATTTCTTTTGAAATTCGATTTAACTCTTTAAATTTGATTCCACCCATCCTATTTATATATGAAGTAGCCGTTGTATTATCTATTCTTAATAGAATATCACAATTGTGGTAATTTTTAGCAAAACATTTTAAACCGAAGAATGCTGCTTGCATTTCTAAAACGTTTATTGGTTTTTCGCGCTCATTTTGTGACCAAAACCCGTTAGCTTTTTTATTATTACATACAGCTCCCCATCCAGTTAATGAAGCGTCCGTAAAAATTTCTAAGCAAAATTTAAGCCCTTTTATAGAATTAAATCCAGATTTAATGTGACGCTGCCACCATTGTATGTCTGATGTGTTAGGGAGAAATGTAACAATTGCATCGTAATTCCCAGCGTTATTTTTTAAAGCAACAAACTTTTGTCTTGTAAGAACTCTTGTTCTGTGGATATCGAGTTTTGTATGACCTTGGGGGACCTGCAGTGGTTCTTCTTGACCCGTTCTGGACTGCAGGATAAGTCTTCTGATGAACTCGCGATGGAAACGGGCCTTTCAAGTTTTTTGAAGCTGGGAACTTTTTACCTTTTGGTTTTAAAGTTTTGGAAGATGCTTCCATTACTTTGGCAGACTTCAAACTTTCGACAATATTTTTCCCGAATAGGAACTTATCAATTGGTGTGGATTTTAAGGCATCTTTTAAATTTTCATCGATATTTGATAATATAAGATTTTTCCTGATTTGCGTTTCATTAAATTGTAAATCCAATAATAAACGAGTTGAATCACTCAAAATTTCGATCAAAGCAATAATATCAGTATGAGAAAGATTATCTTTCAATAATTAAAGAAATAGCTTTTGATAAAGCTGAAACACAAATGGTAATTTTTTGTTGCTTTTCAACAATTCTTCCATCTCTTAATAAAGGAGCTTGTTTATCTTTGAATCCTAATTTTACTTCCTCGTTAAGTTTTGGAGGATCAATGTCGACACAATTGTTTATAGGTGAGTATTTTGAACTAATTCCCTCGATTTCTTCTTTAGGTAAACCGAATTTTATGATTTCGGACCAACGATCAACAAAATCCTGATGGATTGCCGGTGCTAAAATTCTAGTTGCTCTACGTTTTCCAATAACATTTATAACCTCCTCCTGGAGTGTACTTCCAAAAGAGTCCTTTATTTTTTGAGATTCAATAATTTTTTCCTCATTATTGTTTCCAGAATTAATAGGTTTTTCAGCAGAGGTTATAGGCTGAACAATATTCTGAGGATCAACATCATCAGTTGAATTCGCTGTACTCTCAATTGAAACTGAACGTTCATAACGCCTTCGATAATCTGTTAAAGAGTGGAAAAAATTTTATAATTTCTATTCATGAAAAACATGAATAATGTTATTTTTCGTTTTATGCAAATTTATTTTATAATATGGAATATATTAAAGAAGATTATGTAATCTTTTATAAAAAGATGTCTTATATAGGTCAGAGCCCAAATAAGAATAATATTCACTACTCTTATAAGAGTAGAATTCTTGGGTTAGAGCCCAAGAATTATTAACAGCAATAGCTGTTCTTCACATATAGGTTAGAGCCTTTGTAGATTTAAATTTTATTATAAAATTTATAATCATAACAGATTAGAGTTTGTTAGATTTGAACATCAATATTTTCAAATGAAAGATGGCGGCATTAATATACTGTTAGAAAGGTGAAACTAGTTATTATTTTAGGATCGAATAGATTGATCGTGAGTCGAATCAACGATACTGTTTAGTGGGAAAAGTTAAATAAATCGCACTATCACAGAGTTTAATAATAATGAACTGTATTTATTGAATGTAACCCTTATAACTAAACGTATTTATATAATATCTAATAACGCACTTCAATATATTCGCATAAACTTGGATTACTTATATTTTAAGAATCGCACTTAATCGTAAGACGCTCAAAACTTCACTAACTCTTATATCCGTTCGCACACCTTATCGCTCTTCCGATCGCCTTCGGTAGTCTTCGCTCTAATACATTCGTAATGATAATATTTCGCTATCACTCGGCCATCCTTTAATTTTCTCGTCTCGAGATAATTTTAATTTTCGAATATTTAGACATTTTAACATATTACAAATAGATTCGCTCAATTTTCACACATTTTAATTTTCATCAATACCGTAACGCTTCGGAGCTTTACGTTCACGCTTAGGACGTTGGCTAACTGATTTTTCGGAATCAGAAGAAAGTGATTCATTTTCGTCGTTTACATGTTCACCTTGATTTTCGTCGTCAACTTGTTCTGAATGAACTGACAATTTATCGCTATCTGTTTCGTCTAGACCTTCAATGACATCGAATTCGGAAGGTCGCCACAATTTCAATTGCGATGCGTGTGCTGTTGACGCATATCGACGTCCCGCCTCTTTACTTCTTAAATCGGCTACTCCGTAGGTATCAGAAGAATAAATTTTTGTAATTACGAGGGGCCCGCGGAATTTCGATTGAAGTTTTGTTGACTCCCCCGTAACCTGAGGAACGTCGCGCATTACCACAATATTACCCAGGGAGAATTTTACAGTGACATGTTTTGCGTCATATCTGGATTTGTATTTTATTTGTTCGCTTAAAATTTTTTGTCTCGCTTCATTCCTGA